CTGCATTTCTCTGTTTGCACTGAATGAAGATTATTCCTTTTTAATTGTTACCAACTTTAATTGATCTGTTTCCCTCTTTCAGATTAAAGCAGTGATCTGAGTGCAGCTGTCACACACTGGAGCCTGATGAGGAGTAGTCCAAGCTGCTCTTCATCCCTCCAGGAAACAGAATATAAGCCACGTGAGGCTGGAAGGAGGCAGAGGACCAGGCGCTGCAGCCGCATGGAATCACATATCCTGGTCCGGGGGGAGGAGGCTGCTGCCCCCCAAGCCCAGCTGTCTGGTACCCAAAGGCTTGAGCGCTGTACGGCTGAACAGCTCCACTGAAATGTGGCTCCAGGAATACTGAGGAGGAGGAGGGAGAGAGGAGAGCTCTGTCTTTATCTCCTGCTGGGAGGAAGAAAGGGTCCAGAGGAAACTCCTTCAGGGGCTTCGACGGCAGTGGGAAAACCAGATGGTCTCTTTTCAGGAAACCTGTTCTGGGTTTGCGCCGGGGTCTGTACTTGTAGTCCGGGTGCTCCTTCATGTGCTGAGCCCGCAGCCTCTTGGCCTCGTCAATGTAGGGTCGTTTCTCGGAGTCGGAGAGCATCTTCCACTCCGCGCCCAGCCTCTTGCTGATCTCTGAGTTGTGCATCTTGGGATTCTCCCGGGCCATCTTCCTCCTTTGACCCCTGGACCAAACCATGAACGCATTCATGGGTCTCTTGATGTGATCCAAAGGTTTTGCCATTTCAAAGACCCAACAGTTTAATTCAAATCCAGCCACTCAGAGTGACACTCCTTCAGGAAGGTCAGACTCTGTTTGGGCATAAATAACTGGCAACGTCTCCAATGAAGAAGAAAAGAGAGGACATGAGTCCTGAAGGACTGAAGCCCGTGCAGCGTGGAGATGAAGACCACATAAAGTCTGGGTGGGTGCATGAACGAGAGGCTTGTTCTGGATGACACAGAGCATGGCCCCCACTCCCCACCACACTGACACGGAGGGCCACACCAATGAGAACGAGGGAGCCCGCTGTAATCCCTTTAAAAAAAAAGAGTGTGACTGCAGGATGTTTATTCCTCTCTCTCTCTCCAACAGGTTTTAACTTCTGCACATTTCTGCTGGGAGGAGAGCGCAGGTTTGGACAGGAAGTAGCCCAAAATTCACAACACGTACAAAATATTTTAAGTAGAAAAATATTCACGTTTCCTATGAGACATCCCCATGATTGGTCACTTTCATAAATATCCAGGCGCATCTCAAAAAATTAAAATATCGTGAAAAAGGAAATGTGGACCTCAGACGACTGTGGTTAGACTTGTTG